GGTATTCATCCCCCTCGCCACCCTGCCCCGTCCCAACCCTCTGCAGCCGACCAGGGGCTTGAATTGGTGTCCCTGGTTCACCAGCATCTCCCAGCTCAGGGCTGGAGAGAAAGGGGCTGCTCCCCAGGGGTATGAACTGCAGCAAATACTGTGAAACTGCCAGCACGTGGGTGGTGGATGCCACCCCCATGCTCTGAGTCCCAAGGCACTGTCCCCACTCGGATGTACCGCTGCCGGGCCAGCTCCCTCTCCCGCTGGCTCTGCTCCTCCTTCTCCCGCTCCAGCAGGTCCCGCAGCTCCTCCGCTTGCCGGCCGTAGCGCTGGGCAGCCCGCTCATCCGACTGCAGCAGCTCGGCCTCGTGCAGCATCTTCAGCTTCCTGATGTCCTGCCTGTGCTTGGTGATCAGCTTCTGGATCTCTGGCTCCAGCCCTGGGGCAGCAGGAAGGACAGTTACTGTGTGGCCTTGGGGCTGGCCAGATCCCAACACCAGTGCCCTTGGCCTTGGCCAGCTGGTGAGGAGGCTGCAAACACATCAACCAGCAAAGAGGGGCTGGCAGAGCAGCGGAAGGAAGCACAGAGGGGCTTTCTTGTCCTCTACCAAACCCGGGGAGCAGGGACTGCCCACGCTGAGCAGCCCATCCCTGAGCTGCCAGCAGCTTCTGCAGACACAGCCCCTCCCTGGGAGCAGCACGGACACAGGCCCTGCACTGGCCCAACTCCAGCCACGGCCGAGGGAACGTGCCCGTACCTTTCACAGTGATCTCTTTGATCTTTTTGGTTTTCTCATCAATCCACTTCTCCCGCCTGATTTTCTCAGTTGCGCTCATCAGTTCCTTCAGTTTCTTAATCTCCTGTTTGGAAGCAAAGAGGAAAACTTGAGACAAGCTAGAGGAGAAAACCCCTGTTAGCCTGGGAGCCTGGCTGCTGAGAGGGAAGCTGCAGGGAAGAGCAGATGGTCCGAGCTGTGCACAGACAACTTGCACAGCCCCGGCCAGGCATGTTCTCCCAGTCCAGAGAAGCAGCCGTACGCTCTCCCAGGGCCTTCTCCTCTCTCCCTCTCATGGGATGGGGCTGCTGCTGCCCCACAGACCTTGAGCACAGGGGAAAAGAGCAAAACCCTCAGGAAAGCACTCGCTGGCTGAGACAGGAGAGGAGAACGGGGGCTGCTGACAGTCCCTGCGTGCCAGGCAGCCCGTCTGCCAGCAGATGTGGCACTGTGTGTGAAGATGCTGCTTTCTCCAGCCTTCCCCCTCCTTGGTGTGGAAGACCCTCCACAGGACAGACACACCACCCATCACCGTGGTACCACTGCAGACCAAGCTCCTGCAGCACCCCAGAACTCTTCAAAGACTTGGAGACTGCACAGCCCAAGCAGAGCATCTGCTTTCGCTTCCTCTTCTGCCTCCTTTTACCTCCTCAACCCTCCTCTCCAGCACAATACATGGAGAAATACCCAGGCGTGCTGCCCACGGAGCTCCTCCCCAGCATTCCCATCAGCAAAGGCCGGCTGAAGCACTGGGCCATGTACTTCTGTGCTGGGGTTTCTGGTGGGAAAGGCACCGGCTGATGGAAAGCCCAGTCTGGCCAGAAACAGCTCAGTTTCAGCACAGGTAGATGATGTCTGTGCCCAGGACATGGGACATGTCACCGCTCCAGAGGATGAGAGTGCGGCAGGACATCAGTGACCACTGAGTAGAAAGGAGCAGGGAATAGCAGGGGCCACCTGGGACTCTCTTTTAGGGGAAAAAAGGGCAGGAAAATCATCATGGGAAGACAGGGACAGGCTGAAGGCAGCAGCTGAGCACGCAGCCTGGGGAGATGGGGTGAAGGGGCTCCTTGGCGGGGCTGACCCTGCTGCAGAGTGGGAATTCCCAGCCCAGCCCGGCTGCCTGAGGAGCAGGAGCAGGAGCAGGTCAGGGTGTGAGAGCAGAAGGGCAAGGCACAAAAAAAAATTAAAAAAAAAAAAGAGCAAAGACCACATTTACCTCACAAAAGGGGCCCAAAGTGCACCAGACCTGGGGAGAAAGAAAGGACGGAGATGGAGAGAGAAGGGGAATCGCAGAGTCACGGGGAAGAGGGGAGACAGGAGGGGAGAGAGGCAAAACCAAACAGCCATGCATAAGGCAGAGCCAGGGGCAGGGTGGGCAGGGGACAGGGGTCCCACGGAGTGAGGGGAGGCACAGCCCAACGGGAGCCACACAGACGGCCGAGCGCCTGGCAGCACCGACGGCGATGGCAGCGCCGGGACGGGGACAGAGCCAGCCGTGCCAGGGAGCATGCCACATGGGGAGGGACCTGCTCTGGCAACCACGGGACCCCCACGGGGACAAAGATTACTCAGTGGTTGTCCCCCACCATGCAGAGGAAGCGGGGAGCCAAACAGCAGAGCTGGGAGAAGGAAGGGGCTGCAGAGAGAACAGAGACAGGCTCCCAAGCCCTGTCCCT